ATATTGCAAATCCTATGACAATCTTCTTTTTAAAAAATTTTAAGATACAAATGACAAGCCAATAATGGAGTTAAAATACATTCACAAAAATGCAAAATACTCAATCCAAAAGAAGGCAGAAAAAGAGGAACAAAAGTAATGAACATATAGAATAAACAGAATGCAGCTAGGAAGAGGGTAGATTTTGATATAACCATATCAGAGATTAGATTAAATGTAAGCAAATGAGTCTAAATGACCGAGACTGTAAAATTGGGGAGAAGAGCAAAACCCAATTAGCTGTCTACAAGAAATTCACTTTCAATTTTAAAAAATAGGTTAGAAGTAAACTACTAGGAAAATATATAGCATCCAAACTTTAATCAAAAGAAATTTAAAGTAGTTTTAATAATATCAGACAAGGTAGATTTCAGAATGAGAAATATTACCAGGAATAAAGAAGGATATTGCATGATTCAAAAAGGGTCAGTTCTCCAGGAAGACATAACAATTCTAAATTTATTATGTTTCTAACAACAAAGCTTGAAAATACATGCAGCCGAAAGTCGATCAAACTGAAGTGAATTCAAGGGATGAATGTTAACATATGTAAAGAAAAAAGACAGGTTTTTAAAATAGGATAATGCAACATCCCTTCATGATAAAAACTCTCAGAAAACTGAGTATAGAAGGAACTTAATTCATCATGATACAAGCCATATATGACAGAACCACAGCTAGTATCATACTGACTGGGAAAAATTGAAAGCCTTTCCTCTAAGATCTGGAACAAGACAAGGATGCTCATTTTCACTGCTGCTATTCAACATAGTACTGGAAGTTATAGGTAGAGCAATCAGACTCTTTTGATCAGCAATCAAAAGAGAGAGAAATAAATCGTGTCCAAATTGGAAAAAAAAATCAAATAATCCTTATTTGTAGATAACATTATTTTATCTCTACAGATACCTAAAGACTCCACCCAAAAATTTTTACAACTGATAAACAAATTCAGTAAATTTTTAGGATACAGAATCAACATACAAAAATAGGTAGCATATCTATATGCCAATAATAAACAATCTGAAAAACAAACCCAAACCCAAGAAAGTAATCCCATTTTATGATAGCTACAAATAAAATAAAATACCTAGGAATAAACTTAATCAAAGAAGTGAAAGATATCTACACTGAAAACTATAAAACATTGATGAAAGAAGTTGAAGAAGTCACAAAATATGGAAAAGATACTCCATGCTCATGGATTGGAAGAATAAATATTGTTAGAATGTCCATACTACCCAAAGCAATCTACAGATTCAATACAATCCCCATTAAAATACCAATTACATTCTTCACAGAAATAGAAAACATAGTCCTAAAATTTATAGATAACCACAAAAGATCCAGAATACCCAAAGCCATCCTAAACCAAAAGAAAAAAACTGGAGGAATCACATTACCTGACTTCAAATTATGCTACAAATCTCTAGTAACCAAATACTGACATAAAAACAAACACAGAGATCAATGGAACAGAATAGAGCACCCAGAAATAAAACCACATATTTACAGCCAAAGGATCTTGTCAACAGTGTATGTTGACAAGAACAAACACTGGGGAAAGGACAACCAATGCAATAAATGCTGTTGGGAAAAGTAGACAGCCATACGTGAAAGAGTCAAACTGACTCCCTATCTCTCACCATATACAAAAATTAACTCAAGGTGGATTAAAGGCTTAAATGTAAGATCTGAAACCATAAAAAATCCTGAGGAAAACCTAGGAAAAACTCGTCTGGACATTGGCTGAGGCAAAGAATTTATGACTAAGACCCCAAAAGTAATGCAACAAAAACAAAAATAGATAAATGGTACTTAATTAAACTAAAAGGCTTCTGCACAGCAAAAGAAACAATCAAAAGAGTAAATAGCCTACAGAATGGGAGAAAAGGTTAACAAACCATGTGTCCAACAAAAACAAATATTCAGAATCTACAAGGAACTCAATGAACTCAACAAGAAAAACACAAACAACCCCCACAAAAAGTGAGCAAAAGACATGAACAGGCATTTTAAAATAAAATATACAAACATGAAAAATTGGTCAACATCACTAATCATCAGGGAAATGCAAATTAAAGCCACAATGAGATATCATCTCAGTCCAATTAGAATGGCCATAATAAAAAGTCAAAAAACAACAGATATTGGCATAGATGCAGTGAAAATGGAATACTTATACACTGTTCTTGAGAATGTAAATTAGTACAACGTCTACAGAGATCAGCATGGAGATTTCTCAAAGAACCAAAAGTAGATCTACCAAGCAGAATAAAGAATTAGTGAGCTTGAAGACAGTCTATTTGACAATATAGTCAGAAGGAAAGAAAAGAAAAAGGAAAATAGTAGCCTTTCTCAAGACATTGTGTGAGTCAATAAGAAAGAGAATGAGAACTCTGATGTCATAATTCTGATAATGACAAGTAAGAAAGTCCAAAACTTACAGACTCAATAAATGAATAAAATTGAATGTCAAAGAATAGAGAAATAAGCAAAAACCTCTTGTCCCAGCTAAACCAGTGTTGTTGTACTGTTTGCACCATTGTAACAATACGCTGCTAATACAACAAAACGAACATCTGTTCTAAGAATAGCATGAGATGATGTGATCACCACTGGGAAAACTAGGTCCCAAGAGCCAATTAATGGGCTCCTGAAGGACGGGAAAATTCGGGATACAATTGACAATCTTGCCTCATAAAGTCCCACTTTTGGAATCCATAGGAGACTATATCCCTTAGGTCTTAGTATAAATAAGACATGGGTTTCAAGCAGCACAGACAGGTCTCTGTTGTGCAATAAATATGCCAATTTCTCTCCATGCCATACTGCATAAGACCTTTTGTGGCTCCTGGATGCCAAGAACACCATGTCCTCTTCCCTGTCTGCCTTTTGCTGCAGTGAAAACAGAAGATTATAAGTCAGACCTGCCAGTTGAATGAAAAGATGGATTCAGAAGCGATAAAAGTATAGGAGAGCTCTGAGGTGTGCCTTTTAACTCTGCCTTCTTTCGTGTGGCTGCAAGTACAGCCCCTCATGTTACATGAATGGAAGGAAGGAAATTCATCTTTACAAGTAAGAGGGCTGGGAACTCAAGGAAGTGAGATATGTCAGAGTGAGGGAGGAGCCTCGGTAGTATGTAAATTCTGTCTTTATCAACCAGAACTTGTTCCCAGTCAGAACCAGCTCTTTAGGAGAACAGATACTAGCAAAATGACATCTGGATAGGATTAACAAAGTGTCTATGAGGAAAAGGGTTGAAAAAAACCTCAGCTTTCCCCAGTTTAGTGCTGTTTGGTTCTTCCAAAGAGCAAATGATTGGCCCCTGAAAAAAGAGAGAGCAACGAAATGATTGAACATGCCAGACGGTGAGTTCAGGTCCACTTGGTTTGCAAAACCATCGGAAACCTCTGCACATTAGTCACCAAATATTTCTTGCTTTTTTCACTCTTTCCTCGTGGTTTCTCTGGCTTCTGTAGTACTCTAATTCCTGCTACAGAGGAATTACAGCTATTTTACACCAAAAATGATCTAATCACAGGTTTTAGAGGATTCTTAAAGTGAAGTATGATGTGAAAAATTCTGAATCTCTCTCATCCCACGTGTCACTAATTGCAATAATCAAGGTCATCCGTAAAGATATGACATGTGATCTGGAAACTAACACATTTAGAAATTAATATATTAATAAATATTCTTAGCTAGAATACTTTCATTTAAAAAATGTCTGGGCCTCTCTGGGGCTATATTCTGCACTTGTACTTTCATGATTAAATATTATTACTCTATCATTTTAACTTTGAGTCACTTAGGCCCAAATGATGACTGTCTCCCATTAACAAAAAGGATACAAAAAATAAATTTATAAATTAAGACTGAACTATTGGCAAGAGAACCTTAGGAAATTTTATTGAAATTGTTTTACCTCTCTCACAATGGAAGTCAGATCATGTCCCAAACTAAGTCTAACTCAGGGAAGTTTTCGTAGATTCTCCATGCACTTCCCCAAACAACTCCAACCTTCCACACCTATAATGGGATCAAGCGACTGCAGGGGTGAAGTAATGAGAGGGAGACTCTTGTCCAGAGGGGCATGTTATGGTTTCCACCTTTTTCCTTGGTACCTAGAGGTCTCTGCTTGGAAACCTCCGACATTTGTGACCCTCTGTGTCTGTCCACAAACCAGAAGAATAGAGGCTTTTCTAGAAGTCCTAACACTAAAAACATAAATGTCAAAAATATTAAAATAATATACGAGATCCAGTACTCACTTTTTGTATCTATAGAGTTTTCCCTAGACCAAGATTTTACAGACTTTTTTTAGCCAAATAGTAAGAGATGGAACCACATTCAAAGTCACTATGTGCATGTCTGAACATTCAAAGGTTTCCTAAAACAACAGAACTTGATGAATACTGAAAAAAGAACAGCACATTTGACTTTTTTTTTGTCTGGGTTATCTTAAGACACTAACACTGATAACTCCAATACTCATCTAGACTAACAGTGAAATGCATAAAGATTTCATTGTATTATTTGTTATCTTTCTCCTACTCTTCCTCCTCTGATAGCTAACCTTTGTGTCTTTGATACCAAAGATTAATTATCTTATTTTATAGGTACAAACATGAATTTCATGTCTCTTTACACAGATTTGTAAAGACTATTATTAACCTAATACAAGTTGCTTACTGCATTTAGTCCTGTCATTTACTGTGAGAAAACTGAAAGAGAAATGAAACAGAGTCTAAGAATTCAGAGTTGGATCATATCAAGCACTCTCAAAGTTTGACACTCTTCAGCAATATAATCTGATTACTGTTTATTTAATAGCATATTATAATCTACAAAATGCAGGAATTTCTAAAAAATAAACGGAGATATCCCCGAGGAGTAGGGAATAAGGTCATCTGTGTCATTGTCTTTTTTTTTTTTTCCTCTCTACTCCTCAGGAAGCCATGAATGTGTCAGGAGTCAACACAGTGACTGAATTCATACTCCTGAGTTTTCCCTGCTCCAGAGAAGTTCAGGTCCTCCTTTTTGTGCTGTTCTTTGTGTCCTACATCCTGACCCTGATGGGAAATGGGGCCATCATCTGTGCAGTGAAGCTGGACCACAGGCTCCAAACCCCCATGTACATCCTGCTGGCCAACTTCTCATTCCTAGAAATCTGCTATATCAACACCACTGTTCCCAATATGTTAGGGAACTTCCTATCTGAGACCAAAACCATTTCTCTCACAGCCTGCTTCCTCCAGTTCTACTTCTTCTTCTCAATGGGCACCACTGAGACCTTCTTACTGGCCCTCATGGCTTTTGATCGGTACCTGGCTATCTGCCAGCCTCTCCGTTATCCTACCATCATGAACAGTCGTCTCTGCATGAACTCCGTGGCCCTCTGCTGGGTAACGGCCTTCCTCTGCTATCCCGTCCCTATCTATTTTATCACACAACTCCCCTTTTGTGGTCACCTAGGGGAGTGGCCACCTACCATTGACCACTTTGTCTGTGACCCCGGTCCTCTTCTGTCCCTATCCTGCATCCCAACACCTGGAATTGAGCTTTCCTGTTCTGTATTGAGCTCGCTTATTATCTTCATCACCTTCTTCTTCATCCTTGCATCCTACAGCCTGGTTCTCAGAGCAGTGTTACATGTCCCTTCTGCAGATGGCAGACGTAAGGCCTTCTCTACCTGTGGTTCCCACCTACTTGTTGTGTCTCTGTTCTATGGTGCTCTCATGGTGATGTACATCAGCCCAACCTCTGGAAATCCAGCTGGAATACAGAAGATTGTCACCTTGTTTTACTCCTCAGTGACACCACTCATAAACCCACTGATCTATAGTCTCCGGAACAAGGACATGAAGGCTGCCTTGAAAAAAATTCGGATACACACAAAAATTAATCAAAGTGAATGAGAGCTCACAATCAGAATATTTCTTCCCCATTTCTATCCTCAGTTAAAAAATAAGCCTTTATTATCTGCACCTAGAGATACAGATCCAAATTCATCAATTTCTGCCTAGTCAAATGATGGCCAAGAACATCCCAATTAAACCAGATCTTGTCTTCAAATCAGGACTCGATAGATGGTAATTTGAATTAAATGGCCTGTGTATCTCGATTTAGACTCGTTTTCTACTCTGACCTCCAATAACTGATTGCCCTTTTATCTGTAATCACCTACGTGCTCCCTGGCCTCATATTTTTTTGACCTGTAATAAGTGCATATTCTGTTCTTGTGCTTGGATTTTCCAGCCTAATGACTTCTGCTCTACTCCTAGAAGAAGAATAGAGCATTCACACCATTTTAGTTCAGATAAAAGGAAATTAGTGACAATCAACAAATCATAACTATGCCAAATTTTTCATTTAATTGGCATTCAAGTGACTAATAACAATCTAAAGCATTGTCTTCCAAACCTGTCTGTTTCATAATTACTTGGGAAGATTTTTTTAAAGGACAGATTCCCAGGCCATTCTCCAAATATTCTAAATCATAATCTAGAGTCTACCTGGTTCCATCAAAGATTTGATGTTTCCAAAAAAAAAAAAAACTCCACAAAAATAAAGATAAGAAATATGAATTTTAAAAGAAAAAATAGAATGAAGATTTTTGGATCATAAGACCTTATGCTATTATTAAAGTCAAGCCCTAAAGATATTATGAACTCCCTTTAAAGCTAGGCGAAGAATGTGTAAACATTATGTATTGCATGATTTTCATTACCTGCAAAGAGAAAATAAACAGGTTCCTCAGAGGCAGCTAAGTTATTACTAGTTCCTAGTTTTTAAAATAATTTCTTTCATGGGGATTTATTCTAAAGAGTCCAATAGAGATAGTGAACAGTGGTGTGGTCTTCAAGAATATCTGAAACATATATATTATTTGTATGTGCACGTGTGAGTATGTGTGTGTGGTTCAATATAACTGCTTCTTACAGCATCCTAGAATAAAATTCAAAAGCACTATATGCAGCTTAATAGAAGCAATTCTTCCCAGATCTAAGATTATGGTTCAAATATGAGCCTTTGATGATCTGCCTTAACCCAAAAATATAATCCAATATATTATCAGAATAAAATTTAAAGCTAATTACACCATCACCCAAGTCAAAGATTAATAACCCCTTACATTTGGATATCAAAGTTCTCTTCCATCATGTGGAAGTTGATTTTGAAGGAGTAGTCACAAGAATGAAAGAAGTTATTGATAACACAATATTTGTCTCAAGAAGTTTATTGGATTCTTTCTCCATTGGAAATAATTTACCTGTAGGAGGCTCCCATACCTGCCCTTCAAAGAAAGGTGAAGGTTTTAATGGAAGGATAAACCTAGAGCTGAAAAAAAGAGAGAAAGTTCTGGGAATAGTTACTCATGCCATAACTGAAATGAGAGTGGGAGGGTAGGAGGCAGGAAGAAATACATAAATCCAATAAACTATATTAATCAAACAAATCTTCATGTGTATTCTGAATAAAAACTTTTTTACTCGGTTTGGTTTTTTCAACAATATGCTGGCTGAAATGAGGAAGAGAGGATTTTATCTCTATAACTGGATCCGAATAGGATAGTGAGTGTAATTTGCGGAACTGCAGAGGTCAGATCTTGACATGAGTGGCACTGAGAGCAAAGTGCCCTTAGGATCCTGGAAGCAAAGAGAGAGAGAGATCAAAGCATAGTAAACAGATTCTCAGCAGCCACAGGGACCAATTTCCTCTCATTTGTGGCTTTCTCTCACCCAGTTTCATGGGAAAAAGTCAGCCCATTGATTTATTAATATTTCATTCCACTTGTGAAAGGTTTGAAGCAAGAAAAAGATATTATTGCTACTTGCATAGGGAAAAACACAGAAATTAAGGCATGCCCCAAGGGAAGTAAATAACAAGCACAGAGCTGTCTCTTGACACTGTTCTTTTAGAAGTAGTAAATGAATTCTTACCGATCAGGAAAAACAGGGTAACTTACTTCCTGGCAGGCTTTGTTTATAACCTCTCCATTCTTCAGCAAAAAAATAAAATAAAATAAAATCAAGGATCCTTACCACCATTTCCATTTTTTTCTCCTCTCTGATTATTGCCAAAAAGACTACTACTTCTTTCTAAGAAAATACAAAGGAAACTTCTGAGAAGCTTTAATTTGGGACTCCCTTTGCAGATACAGGTAATAAGATGATATCGTGTTTAGAAGAACAGGAAAAGAATATTATAGTTGCAGAAGCCAATAGCCTCTATCCACAGGTCTATTTGAATTTATTACAGCCATACACATACAACCGATATTTCTTAAGCTCCTACCAGTCAGGCACTGGTCAAGGTATTTCCATATACAGTAATCGTTATAATAGCCCTTTAGAGAGGGCATAAGTATACCCATTTTATAGCTAAGGAAACCAAGAGAGTATTAATTTCCTATGACTCTTAAAGAAAGCTCTTGACTATAAATCCAGGGCTTTTGCTATTATATACAGCCGCTGCCTACCACTTGTCCCAATCTGGAAAGTTATCCTATTTTCTAGAAACAGATTACTCAACATTATAGACATGGCAGTTTCCTCACTGAAACCACACAAACAACCTAGAGGAGGGAATTGTGTTGTCATGAGACATCACAGGACTGGCTGTGGAGAGGGGTTAGCAACGTTAGGTGCCAAGACTTCTACCACACCAGACTTTGAGGGGAAATGCAAATATCAGGAAAATGTATTCAGCTTATACTGTGTATGATACAGCCTGGCTCATTCAGACATAATCTATCTTAACCCTTCAGGCATTGACTAATTTAACAGGTAAACGAATCCAAAGAAAAACAAACAAACAAAGGTAGTTTTTCTTCTTAATTAACTTGGTCTAAGCAGGCTGGGTAAGTAAGCACAATGAGTACGCATGTTCACAGTACCCTCGCAGCCAATGCAGAATGAATCAGCCACAGTTTTTTCCCCTTTTCTTTGCTTCAGCTCAGATTTATGCCAGGTAAACATAGTTTCTTCTGCACAGAGAAGATACTTAATAAACGGTAAGTAACAATAAAAGGTAAGTAAAATATAATCTGATTAAATATGTTAGGTTTAACATAAAATGGTGATGGCCCACCCAGAATCATTTTGACACCATTCCTGTTCCCTAAAACAGCTTTGTAAGACTTCCTGACCACAAAATTGCTCTAAGAGGAAATGGTTTTATTCGAGAGTCTTTTTTCATTTTTAGAGAGTACGAGGCTGATGCTTTTTTCATTTACAAACAAAAAAAGACCCTTGGAAAAAAGCCATTTCCTCTCAGAGCAATTTTGTGTCGGGAAGTCTTACAAAGCTGTTTTAGGGAACAGGAATGGTGTCAAAATGATTCTGGTGGGCCATCACTATTTTATGCTATGGAGTGTAGAGGGGCAAAAGGAGAAGCAGGGAGCTCTGTTAAGATGCTACTGCAGAAGTCAAGGGGTGAGGAAAGGTAACATTTGAACCTGGGAAATGACAGTGGAGAAAAAGAGAAGTGCATCAATATGAGTCATATTTTAGCTACCGAAGCAGCGAATCTTGCTGATTAATGGATGTGAGGGGCAAAAGAAAGAAAGAACTGTAACATTAAAATGGACTAGGCCAGGAAAAGAAAGTTCTTGAACATGAACTAAACCATTCAAATTATGGAAAATATTTTGAGATGATGGACAAAGTGACTACCTCAAATTATAACCTTTTAGAAACACACTGCAAAACATCTTGATGAAAAATGCCCAAGCACAATTAGTAACAAATTCTTTTAACTTACAGAGAACTGGGTGACTTTTCTCTGAGTTGTTACTACACCTGTAGACCTAAGAGGTTTTTTTTTTTTAACTTTATAGAATTTAAAGTCCATTAGTCACCTTCATATGTTGCAGTATGTTTTACTTTGAGTCACTCTTTCCATCACTAGCAGTTTTCATACTCTCATGGCTCCAACACTCATTACTAGCCCCATTCAAAGACAGGATTTGGGGACAATGTCTGCTTCAGAAAGTCCATATTCTGAATATTTTTATCCTGAATGAAAATAGTGTAAAGTAATCCAAAAATATATCCAAAAAAGATGAATATTTGCTATCTGAAACTGAATCTCAGTCCCTAGTCACATGTCTTTAAAATCAGAGAAGTAGGGGGGGAACTATATTTAGAAAATGTAGGTATGTGGTACAAGGACCAGAATCTGTTCTTCCCACAGCTGAGGCAATAAAAGCCCTGAGATAAAATAGGATATAAACTAGCAGGATCTTAGAAAATTGTATTGGCCATATGAGTCCTCCTGTCATGAAAATCAGGTAAAATCCAGAACTAGACCTAGAACAAAGAGGGAAAGTTTGCCGGCATTTTTAAAGCTCCAAAATATTAATCAGTTTGCTAGTCCTCCTTCACTAATTTTCTTCCTCTCCCAAAAAATAAAAAATAAATTGTAATGAATTACTTTTTCCCCTGACATCTTCTGCCATTTACCCAGAGAAGTCTTACTCTGTTTTTGAATATTGCAAATAGATTGTTGTCAGACTCCTTGGATAACTATGTCAGCTTTCAAAAATATGTTATAAATCATTGATTAATTGATTGATGCTATATTCCAAATAATGGAAAATAGATATTTTTCATGTTCCTTATGTGTGCCCTATTTGCAAATGGCTATAATAACCAAGGCCAAGGTATAATTTCAGTACTATTTAACAAAGGTAGGTGTTGTTTTAAAACTCAGAAAAACATAAGCCATTATGCAAAAGTATAACCATCCAAAGTTACTCTGCCTTAAGGTGCTTCCAAGCATTGATTGGGAGAGGAAGCAAAAATTTAAAGTTTTCTACTCTATTCAAGTTTCCTGCTAAACCTACCTTAACATTAGCTCAATAATGTCAGGCTCTACAGATTATATGACTAGAATAGGAACCAATGGACTTTGC